GTGGCGCCGCCCCCGACGCAGCACCCTGCTGTGGCGCCGCCCCCGACGCAGCACCCTGCTGTGGCGCCGCCCCGTCATACTACAAATAAAAAAAAATGCAAACAGAACCTAGTCACCTAACTTAAGCAGCATCAAACTATACATACAATTCAAATTTATAATAGCATTAATATATATTTGAGAAAAAAAAATTTGAATACACAATACAGTGTACGTCAATATTTAAAAATGCGTCTATGGAGACGGCCACGGCTTGGACAAGCCTAGTCTGAGGACAGGTAAATTATAGCGATGGCGCTTGATATGCCAAGCGTCAATGACACTGGATGGGTGTGGAGTGTACCTTCCATCGCCACCCACTGGATGGGTGTGGAGTATATTTTCCACCACCGCCCATGGACATGTGTAAGGCACATAATAAATGCCCTAAACTAATCAGACACTGTTATGTGGGACAATAAACACAACCCGGAAGCCAGTAACAATTTCCCGCGCAGAAGACATGTATAGAAGAAGCCATTCTTCATACACGAACCTGGCTTTGGCAACATCGGACAATAAACGCACCGACACGGAGAAAAACTGTGAAATCTGAAACGAAAGGAAAATAATATCCGTCTGGGGTTGGTGTTGAACGCGACGTGGCTGGCATCAGTACATGACGTCACTCAACCCACCATTAGGCTTCGGCACGCTTCAACAATATATTTTGCCACGTTTATTTTTTGTTTTTTTGCTCTTAAAACTCCTACTAGGTTCACCTGCAGTAGTTTTAGTCGCGTGATGGGCGCGTATTGATCTAAAGTCGGCATTGTTTTCGTGGCGTGTGTGAGGCCAGGCGTTACACGCAATACTGAGATAGTCCCTAAACTTCTTTCCAAGGGAATTTATTCCCCTGGATGTGGATATATCTCCTTATTTACTGTAACAATTTAGAAATGGCTAGACTCCATCCATGTTTTAGTTCTGAGGGTGAGACAGTGAGGATATTGTGTGTGTGTGTGTGTGTGTGTTTCCTATTTGTGCCTGCAGGATCGAGCTGCTAGCTCTTGGACCCTGTACTGTCTAATGTACTGATTCCCGACCTATTTTCCTCTGTCATATCTACTACATCTCTCACACACACATCCCCGGGATGCAGCCGTAGCAACTGTCTAACTCCCAGATATACCCATCAGGTGAATGAAACTGCACAATTGCTTGTTGCTCGGTCTGGAATCGAACCCGGGTCCTTAGGGTTACGGCCGCCGAGCGCTGTCCATTGGGCTGTGAGGCCTTGTGTGTGCGCGCGCGCGTACGTGCGTGCCTGTGCGTCTAGAGTTAGGCCAGCGGCGGCGCTGAGCTTTGTAATGAAGGCAGATATGGCGTGACACCGCTGCTCTCTCCTGGCAAAAATGTATCTCCATTAGTATCATCCACGGGATATATATTGCTATTCACACCATCATTAAACAGGGAGGAAAGAGTGCTGTTCAATATTTGCAGCAGCGAGTAAGTTATAATTAACTTGATCTCTTATGGTATCCGTTGCTTGCTTCATACAAATGTACTGAATATTTATAGATTTGCTCTTAAAGAATTATCAGAAAAAAATAAAACTATTTTATATTTTCAAAAATTTTAAAGGGATTTATTTGTATATAACTGCGTGTTTGGGGGCCACGGTGATGATTTAATATGGTTAAATATCGTTTGGTTTGGCCAGTAATTGATTGGGTGTCCATGCACACAGCCAACCTTTCCTAGGGAAGAGGAAGACTAATTCAGTAAGACTAACCGGACAACCTTGGCTGTCGAGGACTGACAGGTCTGATACATGAACAGGGCAGTAGTCTGCATGCATGTATGTATACGTGGCGCTAACCTCGGCTCGAGAAGAAATTTAAAGGCTGGTCGGTTTGATTGTTGCTCTGTTTTTGTTAGCCTTAACCAGCCAGCAGCACAGGAGTAGTAATTGCTGACGTGATCAATAATATCACGTAGAAGAAACAGTGCAGTGGTAGTGTAGTTAAAATAGGATTTGGATTCACATTGTCGAACAATATATATGAACACCTGAGAGACATCAGAATTATGTGTAGAATAATAAACCCCACATTGTTTGAGTTAGGAAAACACTATTTGTCAAATATTGATACTGTTCTTAAAAGATTCCCCCATTTTGCACCCGCAAGATAACGTAAGCTTTTAAGGGTTGATAGATGTTAATCTTCTTATTTGAGGAGCTGTTCACTTGAGACAGTTAAGCAAGTCCCAGCTGTGTCTGGGTACAAGTGACAGGACGAACAACCCAGCGGGTTTTCTTCCTACTGGGGAGTGTTGTACATGTTGCTATGGCGGTATGTCCACTCACAAGATGAGTGGCGCTGCCCAATAAACTCGCCCCTCGGGGCAAAATTTAAACAAAATTTAATCAATGTATATAAACTGGAGACGTTTAGATTTATGAAAGAACTGGGTAAATACTGGTTTGGAAACCTGGTTGTTGATTTATGAAACATTACCGGGTAACATAATATATACGAACAAGCTTGAATGGTCCCCAAGCATATATGTGAATGAAAACTCCACACCCCAGAAGTGACCCGAACCCAGACAGTCAGGAGCACAATGCAACTGGTGTACGTGGTACCTTAACCGCTCGACCATCAATGACCGTACAAAAGACGATGGTAGCCGAGGCTATTTCCCCCCGCCCCGACGGCACCCGCGAGTATGGTAATCTTGGGCATAGTTATTTCATCAAATCACCTCAGTTTGTGGGACCACGTGAGCAATACAAATGTGAACAAACTTGAATGGTCCCCAAGCATATATGTGAATGAAAACTCCACACCCTATAAGTGACTCGAACACAGACAGCCAGGAGCACAATGCAACTGGTGTAAATGGTACCTTAACCGCTCGACCATCAGTGACTGTACAAAAGACGATGGTAGCCGAGGCTATTTCCCCACCGTTTGGTGTGGACATATATATATATATATATGTGAATGAGTTTGGATGGATATATATAGGAGCTGTCATGTATGGGCTAATAAGTTTTTTGCAGTTTCCTTAATTCTTATGTTCTTATATTCACTCTTCGCTTTGGAGGATGAATGCTATGGGAGGTTGTCATGGTTGTCCGAAATTTACAAGTAAAATACGTGGACAGGTCTTTCTGTGCTAGAAATAGGGAAATCAAGTTTGCTATCCGTGAGAGAAAATTGGTGGATATTGTTAACAACTTGAGTAATGTTATGGCTGATAACTGGAACACACTTGTTATTTGCATTAGTGTTGAAAGAAGTGATATAGGAAGAGTTAAGGGTGAGGCACGAATACAGAAGACAGAAAACAGTTCCCTATAGTCAGGGACGGGAAGCCTGTTAGGCTCATCGGGGTTCACCTGGGCCAACGACTGACCTTGTACTTACTACTGTTATATCCAAGGAAGGGCATGAAATCCCTTTTAAATATTTATCGTCATTTCTTTAACATTTTAAACTTATTTGAACAAATAAAAAAGAAAAATCTCATAAAATTATATTGCTCTGACTATTTTTTAAATTGTGAACATAGGCGCATTCTTATAACTTGAACTGAGCAGATGAAGGGTAAAAGCCTGCCAGACAGCTATATCAATTGTGAAGGCAGACTGGTAAGTAAGCAACTATGACTAGCAGGCAGGGCCATCAATTCTAAGGCCGATAGGCTTCGACATAGATTGTAAGTTTGGCAGGCAGAAAGTTTATTACTGGCAGCAAGTGAGCATATATTGCCTGCAGGCAACAACCTTGATGATAGTCAATGATAAAAATAACAATTAAAAATAACAATTGGAAGCAGAAAATTGACAATAATAGGAGGTTCTAAGTAACAAAGCAGTAATAGCCATGTAACAAATAACATCAACATTTATAGTTGGCAGGCAGCCACATCAATATGTATAGTTAGCAGGCAGCAACATCAACATTTATGGTCAGCAGGCACCAACATCAACATTAATAACTGATTGGCAGCTAAATCAACACTAATGGCAGGTAGGCAGAAGTTTCAATATTATTGACAAACATAAAGCAACGTCACTATCAATGTTAAAATGCAAAAACAGCAATAGGAAATACCAGCAAGAACACACTAGTAGCTTGCTAGAAAGATTAGAGCATTTAACTATATGTACTGAGAAAGGCAAGTCAATTTTCCACAGACGAGTCTTGTTGAACCAGCTCTCATACACAACACGAACCTTAGTCGTTGTCTTTGTTGTTGCTGACTCTAGCCTCTCTCAGTACATGGGTAAATGTTCTAATCTTCGTAGCAAGCGTGGTCTGACTATGTTATTTGTCCCTCTGCAGTCTTCTTCTTTCTCCTCTGTTCCTATCTCGTTGTGTGTCTATTTGGTTCTCTGTCTTATTTCACATATGTTTTGTTTCACGAATTAATTTTTTATTAATAAGTATTGGAGAATATTGGTTTCAAACAATAATGTTGGGCGCGAGAGTACACTGCATATTATTGCAGTGAACTCTCGTGAACCAAACTGAATACATACTTATAAACACAGCATGACAGAAAAAGGGGGCCAGACAGCTGAGTGGACAGCGCTCGGGTCTCGTAAAAATAGGCACCAGGGATCGACCCCCGGCGATGGTGGAAACAAATGGGCAGTTTCTTTCGCCCTGATGCCCCTGTTACCTAGCAGTAAATGGATACCCGGGAGTTAGACAGCTGATCAATCCATCAATCCGTTAATTGATTGACAGTTGAGAGGCGGGCCAAAAGAGTCAGAGCTCAACCCCCGCAAGGACAACTAGGTGAATACAGCACTGGGCAGTCCGCTACACATGGAGGTTACTATACAGAAGTACCACTGTACTTCCGTACCAAGAGACCACTGATAAAACTCTCACGCCCGTCACTAATTGTTTAGTACCACTGTACTCCAACACTTATTAATATCTTTTAATTCGCGTGCAGTAACTGTCGACCACCCCAAACACCTCGGACAGGAGGGCGTGCTGGGCGTCACCCCTCACTTAACCTCACCAAACAACAATAAAATTACCTGCAGATTTCAAGTAATATTTCTGTCTGCGGCTTACTGGAAACGTTGAGGAGACTCCTGCGGTACACTGCGAATGTCCAGGTGAACTGTGGGTCCTTTTGTCGAGACGGGCATCAACAAACACCTGGCATGGCAGCAGAGGAAACAACAGAATAAGAGGCAGCTGTAAGGCAACAGCAGGGGAAGCAGCGAGGAAACACCAGTGGTGGGAGCAGCAACAGTAGAAAATACCAGTAGCAATGTGGAAAGACAGTAGAATCAGTAGTTAGGGAACTAACTACAGTAATCATGGAAGTATCAGTGGGAAAGGAGAGTAGCTAGAAAATATTTTAGTATCCTGAGTAGAAGTCCGTGACACCGTCGCCACCATCAAACACAAGAGTACACACAACAAAACTAACAGGAGCGGCTGGTAACAGGAGTAGGTGGTAAGAGAAAGTATTAACAGGAGCGCCGAGAAGAAGAAGAAGCAGGTCCTGGGGTAGAATGAGAGGGAGCAGCCGAGGCCAGTGTGCGTGGTGGAGGAGGCCGGGGCGGGCCAGCACGCACGCTGCTCCTCCTGCCTCACTCGTCAGGAAGACAAGAAGAGACTCAGTAGCACCACCACCACTACTGCCGTAGGTGGGCCCCCTTGTGTGCTGCCATGCCTGCCTGGCACCCCTCGCAGGCCTCACCTCAGTGCCTCAACCTATACTACACACACGCTCGCATTTGTCTCCCACCGTGGATAATAGCGATTGTGGACAGTTGATTGCAACTTTGAATAAGAAAATAGTGACACTACAGTGGTATTGCTACGGAAATAATAGGTATTACTAAGCGTGTTGTCATTAGATGACGAAGATATTAAGGATATTAAAGTTTAAGGAAGTATAAGAGAGCGTGGAGACATGGTGGCAAGCACCTTGACCAAGCTCCTGGTTACGGCCGCAGCCGTCAACTCTGCCATGGCTTTGGATGATTCAGGTGAGCGAGAAACTTTCTTTTAAATGGGAACTGTGGATATGATTCTTGGGTCTTGCCAGTAACTGGTTGGGTGACCGCGCGGGACACCATCTTAATCCCTGGTTAAGGGGACTTCGATAAGCGTAAGAGCGTTTTTGTCCCCTGATAATGGGGAAACTGTCGCGAGGCATTGCATTTGTTTATATTTATAAGAGGGTGATGCAGGTGTGGTACAGTGTTGAAGGTGTGGTACAGTGATGCAGGTGTGGTACAGTGATGCAGGTGTGGTAGTGATACAGCTGTGGTACAGTGATGAAGGTGTGGTACAGTGATGCAGGTGTGGTACAGTGTTGAAGGTGTGGTACAGTGATGCAGGTGTGGTACAGTGTTGAAGGTGTGGTATAGTGATGCAGGTGTGGTACAGTGTTGAAGGTGTGGTACAGTGATGCAGGTGTGTGGTACAGTGATACAGGTGTGGTACAGTGATACAGGTGTGTGGTAGTGATATAGGTATGCTCATTATTATTAACATCTTTATTGAAAAAAATAATTTACAGTTTTGCCTAATCTGAGTAATTCAATTAGGGCTTATTACAGTGAAGATGAAACTGTTATTCACTGTCGCACAGGGCAGAAAATCATACACAAATTTTTCTTCATTCTTTAAAAAGGACAAGCAAATTTAGGATAAATTGTTAGGATATCTTCCAATATACTAGATATCTTCCAATATATATTAGGTTAGGATATCTTCCAATATATATTCAATGAAATAGTTACACAGTTGATTGTACAATAGGCCAGGAGGTCTAAAATCTTTTATGGTTTCTCATTTAATAATGCAGGGTTCAAGCGAATGCCGTAATGGAGTGTCACAGAGTTGAATATTCTGGTAGTGGCTCAACCTCACTTAACTTACCAAATGTGCCTATAGCCAAGGCGAATTTGCGAAATGACTACATCACATTGTCTGGTCCTGATCATAGAAATACCTATTATTACAAAAGTTGTCATAACTTTTAATACTGCAGCTTTCAGGTCTTTGGGCATTTCTTAATTCCTCCAAATCTGAAGTAATCTCTTTAATTTGTATGTTTTTAATAATTGCATTATATAGTCCCAAGTTATAATCCGTGATTTCTTTCATGCATATAGTTGTATTGTCATCAATTTGCTTTCTCAAAATGAAACATAAACGACCTCTTTAAGATCGTTTACTTCACCACAGATTTCAGGTCTAACTTCACCGCAGATTACAAGTCCAACTTCACCCCAGATTACAGGTCCAGCCTCACCACACATTACTAGTCCAACTTTAGTTCAGATTATAGGTCAAACATCACAACAGGTTCAATATTTAACATCACAACACAACATTTAACAGATTACAGGTTCTTCACCACACATTACAGGTCCAATTTCACGACATATTACACTTCCAACATGGTGCTACATAGCTTTCCCGGCTTTGTGCCTTCTTTGATAATTACTTACTTATACTTCCAACTTTACCACAGATTACTGGTCCAGTCTCACCACTTCAAAAAATCACTGTCATGACGGTACTTGAGTGAGGTTTAGAGTTTTGTCAGAAAGCGCGCAAGAACCAGTTTTGTAAAGTGTATGGCTGTTCTATTCCTGAAGGGATGAAGTTTAATTTGTTCAGTATGCATAAGGTTTCATGAAGAAGGCTAGTCAGTGTGGCTGTGGTCCTATCAGGTTGAATGGTGGAGGGGGGGAGGAGATAGTTAGTAAATTAGCTACAGGATTTATAAATAAATATCTCTTTGATATCCCCAGAGTCAAAGTAAATCTGTGCAAACACTCCATGCAAATAAAAGGATCCTGTCTATGGAACTCAATCCCTAATGAATTAAAAAAAAATCCAGCCTTTGCCTTATTCAAAAATAAAATAAAAAAGTACCTAATTTCATCCCCAAAGTGTCCTACCTTGTGGTTCAAACTCACACTATATCTTGCGCTACCCCACTTCCCCAATATTAGTACTTAAGACATATATATCTTCACCGGTGTAATCACCTCAATTTATATTGTAGTTATATTCCATTCACCTGGGCTCCAGGAGACTCGAACCGTGGACCTCACGTGTGTGAGGCCGAAGCTCTATCGACCGAACAATTTTTTTTGTAGTTATTTGTTGATATAAAATTTTGCTACACTACAATGTACCTTTTCATCTTACCTGATATGTTAGATTAAGGACCTGTCCAAAACGCTATGCGTGTTAGTGGCTTTACAAGAATATAAAAATACCAATCTTATGTAATCTCATAAACCCATTGTACCTTCTTGTAAATAATAATTATTATTATTATTGCTTGTTTAGACCAATTACACGGTGTTACATAGTCTCCCCGGCATGGCGCCTTCTTTTAATAATTATTTTTACTTAGACCAATTACAGTGTCATTCAATAAACTCACTTCTGTGATTTGAAACAATTCTCAAGCCATCATTTTCCGATTAATTCACTTGTCTGTTAATTGAACCTATCCTCCTGAAATGACATTACTTATATATAGTAACTGTTAGGTCGAAAGTACTAGTATGTAGTATGTACCACCAATAATGGTAATTATATGATGTCCATAAATTAAAATAAAAAATCAAACTTAAGTATTCCTAGGCCTAGTATAGCACAAATATTTACTATATTAGGCCTAGGATTGCTAGGAGAGGTTAGGTTTGGTTCTATATTTATGTTGCTGTAATAAAGTTTTCCATTTGGCCAAATTCAATAATACAAGTCACATTTTTGGTGGTCCATCACAGCATATTGGTACTTTCGACCAAAGAGTTACTATAAGTACTTCTCATTTTAGAAGGATGGACTGGTTAATTACATATTATTATTATATGCCTAGCCTTGAATTATATGCCTAGCTTGTGGTAGTTAATTGACAATCTCCCTTAAATTCACTCAACTTTAGTAAATAAGTTATTCACCCTCCCCTCTGATTTAGAAGTCAACAAAGCTTATTGAAATAAATTATTACTTCAACGAGTAATTATGAATCGACTAACGAAACCCGGGATGTCCAGTATTAGTACTGTACTTATTACCAACAGTCTTAAGTTTATTTATATACTTATTAATGTACACAAATATACAGTGGCTTGTTAAAGTAAATATGCTGGTGAGTGAGTAGTACATTCTTGAAAAGCACTGATGAGTAAGTGAATAAGTGAAGGAACAGGTGACCGTGACGGGATTACACTCGCGCGAAGTAAAGGTTAAATGCTGGAAGAATGTTAACGATGAATCCGCTGGAACATCAAGAGGGTGTTCATGCGGTAACAATTAAACACCAGGGTCTTGGTACAGCAGGTCCAAGCTGATAACAGCCTGCAGCGCCAACCTTCCCACAGGTTGCAGGTCCAATCTCCCCACAAGCTGCAGGTCCAATCTTACCAAACGTAGCCAAATGTACCGTAACTATGCTTAATCTCCCTTAATAAGAGTGGTTGAGGCCCAAGGATACAGTTAACATAACTTGCTAGGCGTCGAAATCTTCCGGAAGTTTGTTATAAACCAAAGTTTGGGGGGCTTAATATAACGCTCTTTCAGACATTTACATATTTTAGTGCCAATTACTACAGCAAATTTTGGATGGGTTATGTAAAAATAAAAAGTTAGTATATAAACATATTATATCATATGAGGATGCAGTTATATGAAAAAAAACGATTAGGCTATATACACTCGCGCGAAGTGTATATAGTTATATGCAACCCATTCTCCTAAGGTGAAAGAACTTATAGTAACGATTTAGTAAATCGTACAAATATGGACATGATAGCCCAATAGTAAGTATAGAATTTCCATTGGTATAGTGATCCTAGCGAATAATCAGATAAACTTTTATCGAGTTTGGACAAATCTGAAAAGTTTTTCGTTTTATGTTGATAATAAAACCTAACCTAACCATCCTAGACCTAATACACGCAATCTGAAGCCTAATATAGTACGTACATATATGCGCTATTCTAGGCCAAGGAATATTTAAGTCTGATTTTTTTTCTGGGCTCTATAAAATAAATATAACCAAATTCTACTTACCATTTGTCCATCATGTCGATATTTGTACGATCGTCCACATAGTTATACAAATTAGTCTTAATCAAGAGGATGGATTGCTCTATATATATATATATATATATATATATATATATATATATATATATATATATATATATATATATATATATATATATATATATATATATATATATATATATATATATATGCATACTGACATTAATTGTCAGTATGTTCATATGCAGTCCTCACGCAAGCTGGAGTACATACTTGGTGGAGGCCAAGACCGTCAGTAGTTTCAAAGCGTTATATGACAAAGAGTGCTGGGAAGACGGGACACCACGAGCGTAGCTCTCATCCTGTAACTACACTTAGGTAATTACGAGTGAGAGCCTCGTAGCCTAGGTTCTGGCGCTTTCGGTTAGGCTACGCTACTGTATTTTTGTTATTTGTTTTATTTACCTTTGGGAAATCGAGAGAACGGGCTCATGTGCCAGGGGCTCGCCTCAAATTGCTCTACCCTCCTACATCTTAGAAGGGCTCCAGCAACATCCACGAGAACGGGTGATAAAGTTTATGTTTTACCCCGATCAAGGAGAGTTTAGCGTCACTTATCCAGTGAGAATGTGAGTGAACATTCCGCCATAAGCGCATATGATTTATTATTATTATTATTGTATAACATCTCCCAATAGTAAGATTATCCGCTGGTTGTTCATCCTGTCATTTGTACCCAGATGAAGCTCTTGACTCATTTAACTGTCTCAAGTGAACAAACTGACAAACAAGGGATTAACATCTTAAAACCCTTTGTTATCTCGCGGGTGCAAATGTGACCTTCAAGGACAGTATCAATATTAAACATAAAAGCTTCCCTAACTCAAATCATGTGAGATTATTATTATACTACACATATTTCTAATGTGTCTTAAGTTGGGCACAATCTCTCGGGTAGGGGTCC